CTGGTCATTTGAGAGATGCGATGAAAACAACACTGAGATTCCACCTCACCCCAGAAAGAGTGGCTCATATCAAGAAATTAACCAATAACAAATGCTGGTGGGGGTGTGGAGAGAAAGGCACCCTTCTCCTTTGTTGGTGGGAGTGCAGACTGGTGCAACCACTGTGGAAATCAGTGTGGAGATAACTCAAAGAACTAGAGCTGTAGGTCCCATTTGACCCAGCTATTCCCCTGCTAGGTATTTTCCCAAAAGAATTAAAAGAATAATACCACAGAGACATATGTGTACCCATGTTTATTGCGGCACAGTTTGTAATAGCTACAGCTTGGAAATAGCCCAAGTGCCCCATCAGCTGAGAACTGGATAAAGAAGATGTCGTTTTTTAATAAAATGGAGTACTACTCAGCCATAAAGAATAAGAAACTGGAGTCATTTATAGCTAAATGGATGCATATTGAGGCCATACTCTTAAGTGAAATATATAAGACACACATGTGTAAATACCAAATAGTTTCTGTAGTGTGAGAAAATGAGAGTGCTAATAAGGATTAAAAGGTTAATAATTAATAATTGATACTTGAAATATTTTGAAATAGGAAAAGATCCCAAGGGATAGGGGTGGTGGGAGGAGATTGGAAAAGGAAAGAATGGAAAGGAAAAATTATGAGAAAAGGAAAAAAAATGGAAACGAAGTATGTAAATAGGGAAGGGTGGAGGGGTGAAGGGTACACAGGTAATGGGGAAAAAATAAGAACCAAGATACATCATGTACAGGTCCAAGCACTCAATGATAAATGTAAACGTATTGTATACCTAAAATGTACCATTAAAAGAATTTAAACAAAAAAAAAAAAAAAACCTATACGCCAATAAGATGGAAAACACAGAAGAAATGGACAGATTACTAGATTCGTATTAATTACCAAAGGTGAATGAAGAACTAAAAGTTCTAAACAACCCAATATCAATCAATGAATTTCAAAATGCAAAAAAATATTCATTTTTGAAGAAACATTTAAAACATTTCTTTTAAATGCTACTAGTATTAATTAAAATATACGTTACAAAAATATTTTTATTTCCTTCAGTTCTTTTTGTATTTTCAGTTAATATATTTTAAAGAAAACATTACATTTTATATGAAAATATAGCTTTCATTATCATACACATTTGTTCTATAATATTTAATATACCTAAATATGTGATACTCATCTTTATAAAGTACATAATGATACATTTTCCTCTGAACTTCTAATATTCCTACCTTTCAAAATTATTCTATGGAATGAACATATACAAACCAACATCTCAACTAAAAGACATTTTCCTTCAGTATAGTTTTTGCTTCAATTTTGGATTTAAGGTTAGGGTGTAAATATTTTCACTTATATGATAAAAAGGCTCATGTCACAAACAAATGAGAAGGTACATCTTTTCATGCCAATATTCATTATGGAGAAATCATGCTGTGCTTTCACATAGTTTTGTTTGTGATTCTGGGGATGAAACCATGGCCTTGCACATGCTAAGCAAGTACTCACAAGTGAGTTACATTTTTGGAGCCACATAAGGAAATTTATATACTAAAGAATCTTATCATTCTCTATTACAAGTTGTGTAAAATTATAAGATGTAGAAAGATAGTTTAAGTAATACTATATTCTCAAAATGATATTGTTTAGATTTGATACACTTTAATTTTTTGCTAGCTGGGCATTGTGGCACGTGACTATAATCCCAGCACTGGGGAGGCTGAGGTAGGAGGATCACTGTGGATTTGAGACCAGCCTGGGGTACATTGTGAGTTCAAGGCCAGGCTGAACTACAAAGCAACATTGTGAGACCCTGTCTCAAAAAACAAACACTGAAATAGGTTGCTATTTTTATTTACCCATAAATTTCAATAATTACATATCTAGCAAGATTCTCAAAATAAAAATATTATAATATACCAGAAAGAGTTGATTCATATTGAAACCAATTCTCCTCAATTTCTAGAGGCTTGAGCTCTTCTTCTTCCTGATCACCCACTTACTCAGAAATATCCCAACTTCCCAGGGGAGACATAATGAGCTGATTTTTTCTTTTGGTTTTTTTTTCAGTCAGGTAAAAGTAAGTGAATTTAAAGCAGTGCACAGATCAGGGGAAATTAACTTACAGAGCCAGATACAATTTAAGGTGTATCTATTGGGATTTGGCTGATCTTAAATGCACAGATTTATCTACGTCATCTTTCATATTGTCTTCTTTATTGTACTACATAAGGAAATGTCAATGAAAGCTATTAAACTAGAAAATACTTTCTAAGTCATAAAATATTAGTTTGCATTACATTTCAATCGAGAATTACGGCTAATTCACCATTCTTTATCTCTCTTTAGGTCAGTTTCTGTGATATTCACTGGAAACCCTGAGTGCATCTGAAAGGTCATTTCTAGTACTCACTGACAAACATGGGGGCTGGGAGGAAACTGCTCCCCAGGGGTGAGAGAACTCTTTTCATAGGAGAAATAGCACATAGCACTTTGCTTGTGGTGAAAGTCATACAAAGAATGTAGAAATAAGAGTATGAACTGTACTAATTAGCAAGAAAATGTTCCGCTAAATTCTTTAAAATATGTGAGAAGTGATTAAAATAACTCTTGTAAGATATCAAAAATGACATTTTTTTCAAGTTACTTATTGAAAAACACATGCTTTCCTGTTCCATACTTTTCCACATGCCATTTTCAAGGAATGTTAAATTTGCTTGATATTATACTCTTGTCCTCAGGGGCTTCCAATGTAGTTGAAAAGATAAAATAGACCTCAAATTTACTCGAAACATGAACCTCGGGGAAGAGATACATAAGTAACCACATTTATCACAAAATGTCAAATTGTAGAGTTGAGTGAGAGATGAATTCAATTTTTAGAAATTACAGTTTTACTTACATTTTGTATAATAGTATAATTCATAACTTCTCATAAATATAACCATAAACGAATAGCAGGTGGAAAATTCCAAAAACAGAACAAATTAGTTTAAGGGATATTGATAAAAGAAAAAAAAAGGAATAGGTAATTCTTTTTCCTTTTTTTTTTTTTTTCCTTCCGTGCCGGGGATAGAACTCAGGACCCTGCGATTGGAGGGAGGCACAATGCCACTGAGCTAAATCCCTGGCCCCACTAATTCTTTGAAACACTTGTTGACCAATTATGCGTGCTCTCAAAGAAATGAAAAGATTAAGAAATACAAAGTTATGGACAAAAGGAATAATCGCTTTCCACAAAAACAATTCATCTTACCTCTACTACCAGTTGCTGAAGAGATGGGGATGCCACAGGGTGTAGGCTCGAGTTGCCCCTTACGGGACTGTGGAGACTCACATAAGCCACAACATTTTTTTGGAGAATCTTCTTGAAATCCTGAAATCCAAAAAATAAAAAGGGATCTATCTTTAGCGTAAGCACAAATAACAGATTCTCTACCTTGTTAATATGCTGAATAATAAAACACTTTGTATTTAAAATTATTTCATTGCATAAGAACTTTTTAAAGAAGCAAGTCCACACCACTTAATAGAGAAACCCAGACATAAAAGAGGATTTCAAATGAAGATAGTGAGGATTTAGATGGAACAAATAATAAAATATATTAAAGCATGATTCTTACAAAAGACAGATTTTAAGAAAAAATGATCCTGAAACCTTAACATAGCATAGGGCTGAACTACAGAATCCAGAATCAATGTTTGCTTCAGTAATCGTACTTAATTTTTAATTAGGGAACAGACATGGATGAAATTACTTTAGTGATTAATAAAATGAGTCTTTTCCTTTGAAGCACTGAGCTAGCGTTTGAAAGAAGTCACTCATTTTTCTGAGATAAATTAAGCAAAATACAATTGTGACCCTACCAATGTTGTTACTTTAGAAGGAAACCTGATGCAAACTGGCATTTTAGCCCAGTGGTAAAAGACCTGCCTAGCATACCTGAGGTCATGGGTTCTATAACAGGTACCACAAAATAAAACAAAACACAAAACACAAACCTAGATGCATTTCATGTACATTAATGGCATAAAATGATTCAGTAATATAGTTTTCCACTGTCTGCTGACCCTAGCTCTGAAAAAAATCAAAGACCCCTGATCCTACAAATCAGGTATCACTGTAGGGCCCTTCTATTATTTTCCTACTTTCCTTATGCACATATTTAATGACTGTTACTATTTGGACATTCTATATAATCCTAAAACTTATGCCACATGTTGGGAAAGTATCTTTCTTCTTATAGAACGCTGAGGTTAAAGACTATAAAGATTTGTATCTGTAGCAAATCAATAATCTTATTTCTATTTTATGTCGAAAATCCAGCTTACACTTCTTAAGAGAGGTAAATAGACAATTATTTGAAACTAATAATTATTTTAAATGAATATAAAAATACATTTAAACTGTACAAATTTAGCAATGATAAAGTTCAAAATTATTTATTGCTACTTAAATGTTATGAAAAAGAATCTATTTGCACAACCACATAGACACTGTCTACATAGTAGCTCATGTAATTCTCCTGAGAAGATCACTGTTTCAGGAATCCAGTATTAGAGAAGTTAATCTAGCCTAAAATCACATGTTTTATGGTAGAAAAGATCTGAACTCCAATTTATTTTACTCTAAAATCCGTATTATTTCTAAAATGGTCTGTAAAAAAATAAAGATTCTTCACAGATGAAGTGTTACTTTGAAAAAAAAAACTATTTAATAAAACGTTACGATTTTCCTGAAGGAGCAATTTTAGTATTGAGTCAATTCCTCAATAATTCTATCACTTTAAATCCCATTTTTAAGTTTATTGACCAACATCACATAATCCTCTTAACTACAACACTGTGTTCCCAGGGGTTTCTATGTCAGCAAAATTAAATAGGGTAAATATCATGTCAATAGGGCTTTCCTCCCTCACCTTCACCAGAGAACATATTTAGATCTTAAATTGGTTTCAGCATTAAAAAAAAAGTTTCATTCTCAAAAGGAAAAAATTGGATAAGAATAAGTAGAACAGAACAAGTAACAGTTCTCTAGATTTTCTTCAACTGGACAGGTAGGAAATCAGTTTATGAGCTGTACTGAAGAAGTTTCCTGATATATAGTAAATTATAAAAATACACTTTATCAGTCAATAATAAAATCTGTAGATTGTTCCCTGTTTTCATCATTTATTTGCTTCTATCCATCTGTCATGTAAAAAACCAGAAGGTGACTAAATATATAATTAGTTACCAAATATACATACATATGTAAATATTCAAAGAGAGTGGTCTGGACACATTTAAATAGAACAAACAATTCTAACAAACATCCCACATGGACTTCCACACTGTAATACTTGTGTATTTCATGTCAAATGATTGAGAAAATAAAACATTACCAAAAAGTGCAACAGCTTCAGTAAAACTTAAAAATGACTTTATAAATTGGGCATGATGGCACACAGCTGTAATCCCATCTACTGTAGAGGCTGAAGCAGGAGGGTTTCAAGTTTGCACCCAATCTGTACACTTTAGGGAGACCCTTTCTCAAAATAAAAATAAATAAATAAAAAGGGCTAGAGTTTTAGCTCTGCAGTAGAAGCCCCTGGGTTCAATCTCCAGTACCAGCAAAAAATATTATATTTTATTGACCAAAAATTATGCATTCAATTGAAAACAATAATTGCTCACATACATGGAAGTTCACATGGGTTCAATTTACAGGTTAGCAAGCTTGATATGCAAATAAACCCAAGAACTTTCTGCAAAATAATTCTCTCAGTACTTGGACTCAGAATATTTAAGTTAGGAAATAATAATGTTAGACAAGGCTATTTTTAAAATATAATTTAGGCATATGCATATCAATTCAGAATTAACATAATTGTGAAAATTATTAGTTATCTAGAAGATTAGCGAAATCTTTTGAGTTTGAAGACTCAAGATATTTTCTTTTTTGACACATTTTCTTACTTCCAAGAAATTTGCAACACCTCTATTGTTTCTGAATTATTTAAAACAGTCCAAATCTCAAATTTCCTAAGTTGCTCATAAATTTCTTCTCTAATTGTAAAAGTAAATAATTTGGAATAAAAGTTTGACAGGGCAGTTGAGCTGGTGTATTTTCCATCTTACCTAAAAATTTGCCAGTTAAGAATGGTTCTTAAAGCAATGAAATTTCTTCATTTGAAATAATTCTTTCAAGTATGGAACATCCATATCACTGATTTGCACATAGAAAAACATTCCAATTTGCAGCTCGTGAATCTTGCTGAACTTTACACTGTAAAATTTTTCTCACCATTACAGCTTTTCTTTCCCTCAAGCTAAAGTAAAAAACACTCTCTATTTTCTTTCTATAATTTCTGATACTTTCTTTGATATTCAGTAGATACCTTTTTTTTGAGGCTTAAATAAAAAAAAAATGTAGCAAGAGAATTTCCTATTAGATGGAACATTTTCCACTGAAAGCTAAGATATTGAATAAATAAGGAAATCAAATGGTTTCCTAGTTTAAATTGTGTAGATTTATTTGGCTCATATATATCCATTGAATCTCCTTTTTATCACAAAAATCATAAAAGTCAATACAATATCTAGGAGTTTTATTATATTTCCACTATTGTTAATGCAACATCAACCCAATTATCAGTTGCTATATTACATTAAAAAGTGGTATCTCGGGTTTACAGACATACTAGAAGCATTTGAAACTTAAATAATTCAGTTTTGTTCTAAATGTGCCTCACTGCAAGATCTATTTCATTAATGCTTCCTGAGGTAATTAGGTAAGTAGGGAGGTAAGTAGGGAGGAATGAGGAGGTAGGAAGGAAGGGGAGATGCAGAGAAGAAAGAGAAGAAAGAAGGTGAGCTCTGTCTGAATCTAATCTCCACATCATAAAGAAAATACATAATGCTGAAGTTAATAGGCAGCATAGGAGATTATTTCCTAATTCCAGATAACTCCTAGAAAGTATATTTAATGTAATGATTTGTATCAACTAATCCTTTCTTTTCCAGTGGGTATCAAGCTGTCCTTTAAGGATAAATACAACAATTCAGTGATCTACTGGGTGATATTAATGTTTGCAGAGCTTGTGGCAATAGGATAAGGGTAGTTCCAGGCCATACACAATTCACTCTGGTGTAGGTCAACTTCTGCCTCATTTTTACAAGTGATCTCAGCAAATTTGCAGATATTACAACCTTGGTTGAAAAGCACATCATTTTCTTTGGCTTTACAAATTTTACATCATCCACTTATTTTAAAAATGAAAAAAAAAGCCTTATGGTTAACATTTATTTTACCTCTCCCCATTCGTATGAGCCAATATTGCCCAGAGTTGTTCCTCCCCATGCGCAGAAAACTATGGTGCGGTCTGGCCTCCATCCCCTCTTGACTCTCAACATCAAAGCTTGGATAAAAGCTGTGATTATTGCTGTACTGCTGGCCCATTCTTGTCCATTATAACTGTACACAGTATGATGATGGCTGCCAACTATAATATACCGGTCTGGAAACAGAAGGAAACAAGAGTCATTAAAACAAAATGTAAATCTTAACAATACATTTAATGACATTTACATAATCCTATTGCATAAGTAAGCAACAATTAAGCAAAATTGTTCTAATAATTAAGACTACTTTAACGTTTTTCACCCACTGCCTTGGTTCACACATCTGTATATATCAAAGCAGAGGCAGCTGCTAAAACCAATTATGAACCTAAAGCTTAGATCCATATTACTGTACTTGCAACATGAATATTAATTAACGAAGTATATAAATATACCACATTGAAACCCTTATCTAACAGTTTTCCAGAATCATAGTGGGAAGCACCCTGTAAACAATGTGGGTATGCTCAGTAAATATTAGTGAGCTATTAACACATTTGAGGAAGCAGCAAGTCAGTAGCTGTAAATATTAAAAATGCGGTAGTCATGTACAGATTTTGTAATAAATGTGTTCAGGGAATTTATTACAGCTTCCAACTTATAGTTTTAGTCCTCCATTCTTTGAAAAAGAAAAGAATTTACCAATATCAAAAGCCTTTCAACCACTGCAAAATTTGCCTTTTCAAATGTTTTATTTCATATACTCATCCAAAATTCATTAGATACGCTACTAGAAATGTTTTCACAATACTTGGCTGTGGGCTGTTTACTGTATATTCACAACTATTGTTAGTAATAAGGAAGCTAAGAATGTACCTCCAGAATTCCCTCTGATTATGTCAGTCAATGACATTGATAGTAATAACACACTAAATTCATTTGACCAAAGAGCCCTATACATGTATATAAAAAGTTTCTTTGTTATCATTTCATTATAAGATGCTCCATAACTTTATGGCTAAATTTGCAGACTGTGAAGCCATTCTACTAGCAATGGGATCTGGGCTTTACAACTTACTGGTTATATTACCATGGAACATTTATTTCAACTCTATGACTTAGTTTCTCCAACTCTAATATGGAAATATAAATGACACAAATATTCAATTGTTCTGAGTTATCCGTGAGTTACTGTTTGTAAGGTACTTTGGACACTGCCTGGCACAAAATAGGTCTCACACCTGTGTGGAACACATGAATCAGCCCTTGACTTCATGACATCAAAAAGCTGCTATGAGAAATGTCACAGTATAAATCTATTTTAGTTTTCCACGTTGATTTTAGAACCATCAATGGATTTGATCTGGCACTATTTTATTAAGGTTCAATTAATGGTTTACACAAGGATCTAGAAAGGTTGAAAACTTGGGAATTCATTCATTTATCTTCCAGAAATACCAGAAAGTTCTATTTCAGATTCCCCTTTTTCTAAATAAATCACACTCAGCAAATTTAATATTAATTGATGGTTGTTTCTAATTTTCAATCATTAAATTTATAAAATTATGTGAATAAACAACCAGTATTTTGTGTAGAATTCAAGCAAAAAAATTGAGAAGGTTTACATAATATAGATGAAAGAATACTAATGGTAAAACTGATTTTTAAAATCCTTTTGGTAGATTGAAGTTTTTTACTCTAAACCTAGTATAATGTATGACCGGGTTTTCCAGTAATGACTTGAAAATGAAGAAGTGTGATAAGTATTCTAGAGATTCAGAGATTCTTACGATGGAAATTTGTCAAAATGGTTGAAATACAATGGCAAACATTTCAAGTTCATTTGTATATTATATTTGAAGAAACTATGATCTGAAGTTGTTCAATATTTCTACTATAAGAACATCAGAAAGAATACATATTTTTCATGAATTTCCTTAGTTGGCTGGCAAGAAATGGGAAGGATATATAACTTGACTTCAAAATAATTTGAGTTTGCAATTAGGTCAATTTGACTAATGCGATAAAAAGAATAATTTTACAAGAAGAACTTGAGTAAATATCTGAACTACACCAACAGAAAAGGCACAAGTGTAGTAAAACAACTTTTCACTCTACACTGTGTAAGAGTGATAAGTGACTGGGTCTTACTATATATATGGAGGCATTGGTATTAGTATCTTAATTAGCATACGTATCAGTTATCTTTTACCTTTTTTTACCTATGTAATATCATCTGATAAATCCATTAGGAGATTTAAAAGGTATAAAATTATTTAAAATCTAGCCAGGTGATTCTTTATATAAGCACTGTTAGATCTGACAGTGGAGCAATGTTCTAGAATAGGTCATTAATATTGAAAACGTATACTTGGAGAAAAAAATTTATTTTTTAAAAAACATATCATTAAAAATGAAATCTTTTCTTGGTAAATTACTTTCCTTGTTTACATTCCCATTACCCATGTAAAGGAATTTCTTTTTTTCCTGCAACCTCGACAGTATTTTTATTATTGATTTGATTTCTTGATGATGGCCATTCTTCCTGGAGTAAGATGGAATGTCAATGTTGTTTTAATTTACATTCCAGTAATGGCCAGAGATGGTGAACATTTTTTCATGTATTTATTAACCATTTTTACTTCTGAGAAGTGTCTATTCTTTTCAGTTGTCCAATTTTGATTGGCTCTTTTATTTGAGATATCTAATATTTTAGTTCTTTATATATTCTAGATATTAGTCCTTTTAGTCTTCTTTCCAGTGAATAGTTGGCAATTTTCTCCCATTTTGATAAAAACTCTAATGGTGTTATAGTGAATAAAAGAAAAAAACATAATAAGGCTTTTGTAGCACATGCCAGCTTAATAAACCTAAACTATTTTTCTCATTGCACCCAACACACATTCTGTATTAAAGTTTGTTTTTGAAAAGGTAACAGTAGAAAAGATAATATAACTATACTTTCTTAGTTTTATATCAATCCACTCTTAGAATAGCATAATCTTCTTGTTATACCTAAAGTAAAATATTTAACTATGTTATTCAATTACTACAGAATATTTATTGGTCAAGTTTGATATAAAGTGTAGATTGTAAATATCTAACCCTACTCACCTGGAGATGCCAAGCCCTTGACATATCCAACCACATTTGTAACTGTTTGAAATTTTGTGACTGTCTGAACTTTCATGCTGACAATTCTTATTTCTGAAAAACAAAGGATGTTTATTTACCTATATTGTTTTTTCTTAAAATTAAAATTAAATCTATTTAAAATTAAATTAAAATTAAATCATTAAAATCTATTTTCTAATATCATCACCAAAAGTATTCTACAAAACTCAAGTTTTTCTCAAATAGCCAAAGTTTTTTTTGCTAAATATTTATTCAATATTTTGTGCAGAATCTATTTTAGGTTTCTGTTATGCAATGATGACTAAGACACAATGCCTAGTCTCATAGAACTTCAGAGGTATAATGAGGCAATTCTAAGACTTGAATTCAGTGCTACAACAGGGATAAATATGAGAGCACACCAATGACCTCCAGGAGAGGTAGGCAACTCATACTTTTCAAAGGATAGATGAAAAAAATATTTCCAGTGAGTATTGAAATGTTTCATATTTAAGAAACAGAACACGTCGAAGAAAATTTAACTTTTCCTATATAACTCATTATTATTAAAATCTCTATTATACAAATTAAAAGTACAACGATTCTTATTTTCATAATTTGGATCTTTATTTCTACACTCTTAGATGTTCACTTCTATTATGAATTTCCACTAAGCGCTGTGCTTCTTTAAATTCTTCTATTTATGCTTGACACTCAAAAAATTTGCAAGTAAGATGAAAACCCCAGTCAAGAGAGATTCCAGTCACAGCCCTGATGCAGTGTTTGAAGGCCCTGGGTGGTGACATGAGTGAACTTGGGGTTTTTTTGTTTTTCATACCAGGGATCAAACTCGGGACCTTGCGCTTGTGAGGCAGGCAGCGAAACCACTGACCTAAGTCCCTGGCCCCAAGGACAGTGAACTTGTTCTTGATGGGTCCTGGGAAGTCTGGAATAGGGTGGGCATTTCTGGTGAAATCTGAACTGCAGCTGGGTCAGACTGTGGTATTCAGGCAGAGGGTGGCAATCAGAGCCATTGGTAAGCAGCCCTGTACACCAAAAAGCCTCTCTTGACACTTCTTACTGCTAGATGAAAATTATGATGAATACATTGCTTCTTCTTTAAGTGTTACAATTTAAATTCACACCAACGATTTAACTGGAAAATCAGTATGCTGAATCTGTGCTTTTACTTCAGATTATATGCAATTTGTTTGTTTTCAAATTAACAGACTTTGTTTTCTGGAGTAGTTTCAGGTTTATAGAAAAAATTAGCCCAAATTATGATTCAAGGTATTCCTCTCTCTCCTCTGCCTCATATTATTAACAACTTCCATTAATGTAGAACTTATGCTGTGATGAATGGGTCAGAATTAATACATAATTTATATTTCAGCCTTGCTATTGAATTTCATTACAATCAGTGCCATACTGTTTTAACTAATGTAGCTTTAGGATATATAAGGTGGTGTCTCTTTTACCATTATTATCATCACCATGGTCATAATTTAATTATTGTTCAATTTGGAGCATATTTATGACCAGTATTTTAATATGAACTTTAATAATAACATTTTGTGTATCTTAAAATGGTATTTCAAGATTTCATTAGGATCATATGATATTAATAAACCTGAGGATATTATATTAACTCAGTATGTGAACATGATATGCTTCTCAGTTTATTTTAGTTGCTTTTATGTCTTTCATCATATTTTTATATTTTTCTCCACAACAATTTTTACAACCATTATTAATTTCTGTTTTATTTTTCTAGCTATTTGGACAAAGATTTTTATGCCTATTTGTATTGCATGTAAGTATGCTATTGAATGCATATTCTGGTCTTATAATGAGTCTTCTGGTTAATTTCCTATATATTCTAGAGTTGATATTTAGGATTATTATTTCTGTTAGTGTTCAATGAAGATAATTCCTTACTGCAAACAAATAGTTTATTTTATTACTTTGGAATCATTATAGCTTTTGATTGTTTCATTTTGTCTACTACTGAATGGAGCAGTGATAGCAACACTCCATGCTCTTTGTCCTTTGTTCTTGACCATTAAAATAATGTTTCAAAGATTTTATGTTTTAAAAATGTTTGCTTTAGATTTCTGGGAAATTCCTTTTATCAAAGTAAGAATATTGCTTGTTACTTTACTAAGAGATTTTACCATAAACAAATGTTTAATCATGTATTAAGATGATTCTAAAGCTTCTCCTCTACAGTGTTTATAAATGCATGTATTTCTGGAATAAGCTGTGCTTGATCACAACCCATTTTCTTTACCTGATGACTCATATTTTTAGGATATTTGCATATATAGCAATAAATTATTAGTTGATAATTTTACTTATCATTTGTTGTAATCTAGTTTTGACATCTAGATTATATAATCTCACTAATGTTCTAGGAAACTTTTATTTCTTTTGTAGATTTTGTAACAGTTTATGTACCATAAGTAGTATGTGTTTTGCAAAAAAAGGTTAGGACTCACATATAAATCTTTTTTCTGTTTCTCTTTAATATTGTTATATTATTTATTGTCTTAAATTTTACCTAAATGTACAGTACTGTTCTTTACTTAAATTTTTAATTTAAATTCTTCATTCTTAACCTGTGTGTGTGTGTGTGTGTTTGCATGTGAGAGTCAACCAAAGAATGCATATATCAGGAAAAGAAAAACTTGTATAAATCTTTTAATACAAAATTTATTGAGACATCATGAGATTAATGCAATTTAATAAATTATAATACCTATCCATTTTGAAGAATGGGTCAGCAAAATAGAAAATACGATATATTCTAATGGGTTTTATCACACATATAACTTATAAACCCTAGTTGAAGATTTTGTAATTTATAAGGAGTGACAGGTACTTGAAAATTTGAGATAACTATGTAAAAAACTATAAAAATTGCTCAGAAATATTAAAAAAAAATTGAAAATACTTGTTAAAATGATCTCACTTAGAAGTGTATATCTCAGGTTGCCTTTTGGTGTTTTAGCAAACAAAGAAATAAAAACCCTAGACTAAATCTAAACTAAGTCACCAACACTGTTGAAAGAGAAAGCTAGAAACTTGAGAAGTTCTGGGTGAATGACAGTTCTGTCACCCCCAGTGAGCCCAACCTGCTCTCCCCAGGAAACAAAGGAGGGACTCTACTTTCTGTGCACTTTGGACAATAGTTTCCCCACCTATGCTCACTCCATTTAAGATCCTTGATGAATAGTCCTTCAAAGCGAATTCTGAAGCTTTTCTTTTCTTTTATCCTTTTGTCTGAGGACTTCAGACTGGCACCTCATGAATGCTGATCTTTACCTCTGCAGATTACTCTGTATGAGCTTCTAGCTCAGACTCCTAGGTCCACTGTGCAAGGGGCTACTGGAAGAGCCATGAGATTGGGTGTCACCTCTGTGGAGCTCAGTGAATCCCAACATCTAGCTCACATTTATCACCATACATAGTATTCTTTCCTAAAGTGATCTAGCACACTGAACTTTTTTTCTCCAACTAGGAGAAGCTACTGTAGCCACATGTGTGTTGTATAGAAAGTATCTGCACAAATTAAAATTAGTCCCAATTTCCTGATATTTTCTTTCTTGTTGAAGGCTGGAAGTTATTAAAGCCTATGGTTTGGTTTGGTTAAATGTCCCCCAAGGTCCCAGGTATTTAAGCTTCCTTTCCTGCCTGTGGCACTGCTGGGGTGGGTGGGACTGTAGGAGGTGGAGTTTAGTGGAAGGAATTTAGGTTACATGCCTTGAAAGAGATATTGAGACCCTATAGGGGTCATCCTCTTTGGTAGCCATGAGGTAAAGAGCTTACTCTCCCACACACCCTCTGCCATGATACTGCCTTGACACAGACCCAGAAGCAACAGGGTCAAGAGACTATTGGTCAAAACCTCCAAAACACTGGGCCAAAATAAATCCTTCATCCTTCAGAGTTGGGTATCTCAGGCATTTTTGTTACAGTTACAGAAACCTAACATATCAACTCCATACTAAAACAAGTTTGCAGTTCTCTCTTTTCAGGCCTACTTATTTTTTTTTCCTTTGGATACAGCAAAAAAGGTTACTCACTTATTATACCAGGAATTAAAGCAGGACACATCATATCAAATTCACTCCACTGTCTATTGAGATAAAGATAGATAGATAGCCAGATAGATAGATACACAGATAGATAGATAGATACATAGATAGATACATAGATAGATACCTAGATAAATAGATAGATACATAGATAGACTGATGGATAAATAGAAAATCTCAAGAGATTCTTTAAATAGAATAGCATAATATACTTTTGTATATTACGTATATTTCTCAAAGGTAGCAATTTGGGAGCTACTCTGAACACACTGATTTGTTGTATATGTAACAAAAAATAATGCCAGATTGAAGTTAACTAACATTTCTTGTTAATGGATTTGAAAAGTTAAAATGAACTATTTGTCAATAAATTTGTGTGTAATAATTTTTAATAGTAATATGCTCAATACATTTTTAAATTTCTGTTCAAGAAATGCTAATAATGAATTCTTTAGTAGCTACTACCAAATTAAAAAGATATTTGAAATAGGATAGGTTAAAATTATAAATAAGATTATCAGTTAGATATTATATTATTCTGATAGAACTGATTTTCAACAAAGAATATATCAAATTGTAAGTGAGGATATTATACATATATGTATATATATGTATCTGTCTTAAGAAACATACTTCCAACTTACATAAAACTTATAATCACTGCTAAGTTTCATCCAACATAGAAACAGGCATTTTTTTTTCAAAATAGTGGACACATCAAATTTATCCAAATGCTTCTTTTTAATTTGATTCATTTCTGTTTTTCAGCCTAAATTATGTAAATTTATTTTATAACTTTTCATCTCACTTTTTCACTATACTTACGGATTTTAACCACAAGAGATTTCCATGTTCTAACTGAACCTCAAGGTCAGAGACTGACAATATATTAGATTAATGGGTATGATCTACAGAGGAAGACCCAGGGAAATGAAATGCAGTCAGTGCCCAGTTATCTAATCAATGGAAATAATCCGTGTTTATTAAGGAAAAGAAAGTTCCTCCTAATTCTTTTTTAAATCTTCATACAATTGCCTTAGTTCTCTCAGAGATCTCTATACAAATGTTTTGCTCCCTGTGTCACTTCACTGAGCCTGTTTTGTGAATGCAGACATCTAATTCCTTTGTTTAGTTAAAATTTTATGTTCCATATCAGATAACTTCCAGTTGCCAACTAGTGAAAACAAAATAAAGTTTGATAAAACAAAACAGAGATATTAACTCATATATATATATATATATATATATATATATATATATGGGAATATATATATATATGGGAATATATATATATATGGGAATATATATATATATGGGAATATATATATAGGAATATATATATAAACAGTTCAATGGATTTGGTTCCCGATAAGCATTTTTTTAGTCTCCAAATGATATGTATCTTCCCTTCTCTCTCTGTCTGTCTCTCTCTCTCACTCTCCCTCTTTTATTTTCATTCTGAGTTGGATCCAGCTTTATTTTCAGATACAAAACCTTCTCTGGGTCCCATTGTAGCTATCAATATTCTGGAGCTACATGCTTTCTTTGTCTAGTGTTAAAATGAGTCATTGTTCAAGGCTAAAAAATGAGTGTTACTATTGTTTGGTCAGACCTTGACCATCCTTCAATTGTGATAATATGGTTAAATGTGATATGCCAATGGGCTTGAGCCAATCAGGACCTGCTCTGGAGTTTGGTCAAATCTACTCCTATTGTTTGAAAATGTGGCAAAAAAGAGAAAAAGAAATCAGATATTGGGAAACCACATAGAATAATTCTACTATAATGTTTTCTTGATTTTAGAAAAGTATGGCTTAGTATATAAAAATAGTTAAATGGTAACACAAATGGTTGATTTGCACATGTATTTTTAATATACTTCTGTCCAAACTTGATTAGTGAAGATTTTCCTACATCAAAATTAAGAATATACTTAGAAAATTCAACAATAAGACATAATTATAATGTTCTAAAATGCTTTTAATCCATAAAGAACAAGCATTGATTTTATTGCTTGAAAGAACAGCTCTGCATTTAGTATTATTTTCATTTTCCATCATGATATATATCATAATGAACAATGAATTCACATTATGTTTGTTTATAAGAAAATATAAGTTAATTATCTTGGATGAATCATGAGCATTATTTTCCAAAACACTGGGGCAAATGGCCATTATTCTGTTTACTATTTTGTTTGGGAAATTTAAATAAAATACCTGTTGTTTTAACAAATGAAGGCCTCATTATAATATGAAATGCCTTCTTAGTGATTTAATATATCTGTCTGAATTTTTTCTAAAAAATAATAATGACTACTATGTCCATGATGAAAACTTGATATAGCATAATTCTTTAGAAGGCAGACCTATCTTGTTGTGTCTTTAAAAGTGGAACTGTAAACAGGTTTCAGCATATATCTCAGTTTGCCTTATGAGTTTCACATGTGTTAATTTGTTATGGATATAGAGCTATACAGCCTCACTGTGTTTTGCTAAGGCATTATTTTCATGTTGTGAAGGAAATTGCTATAGTTACTTATTATGGAAGCAACTTTCTAATTCACCTGACATTTACAGTATCTAAAGGTATTAAGACATATATTATACTTCAATTCTCACAGCAAAATGAGATGATAGAAAATGTGCTACTCTTTTTGTCCACATAAACACAAAGACTTCTGGTGCAAAGGTGATAGGTGAGCAGTTATGATGCTGGGGAATATCAAGTACCTGGGCGCAGGATGGTGGCTCAGATGCATTAGGGGCTCTAAGATATGTTGATTGTATTAATTAAATACAAGCCTAAATCTACTCCCTTACAAGTCTTGATTTTTCTTTGTAACTAACATATTATATTGATGTAGCACACATGTTTAGCAAATAAAGCTCATGATTAATTCCTGTGGCTCAGAATAAATGACAAAAAACACAAAGCAAAATGAAAAGCTCTTTTCTTTGAGACATAGGCACATTACCATTTTTATATTATCTGCTCTGCTCAATTGGTAATGAGTTTAGGAGTGTCTCAACCTACATGATGTTGAAAAGTGAATGTCTCTTAACAGAGAACCACCCTGAATGCATTCAGACTTTTTAGTTCTTCAAAACATTTTTAATGCTTTTGTTGTCAACAGTAAAACAGATGAGATAAAATGCAGCTAGTTGAGCCCTTGGATCTGAACACAAAAAACAAAGCCCTTAAGTGGTAGTTCACAGCAACTAGAGACAAATTTAACAATATGTAAAGAGAGTCTCTACTTTAGAATTCTAATGCTGAAGCTGGAGGCAGGAATCAGATGCAGCCCATGGCTTTTATCCCACCACAGGAGCTTAACTACTTCAGTTTTATCCAGCACGGCCCAACAAGGCCTGACAAACTGCACTGCCATAGAAGAAGCATCTCTCAGGCCATGATGCATATAGACAGAGGGATTTTTTAGTCAATTGCAGGAATTAGGCTTGAATGCTTTATACTAAAAGGCTTCCTACCCCAGAAAGCTGCCTGCTATCCACTGAATCTTGGCAGGCAATAAGACCACTGAAACTGGGAAGCTATGTTAAGCAGATTTTTGTGCATGTACAAAATACTTTATTTATAAAGCGAATTTTTTTTGTATCAATTCAAAATGCTTTCTTTCTTTTTTTAAAACCCTTAGCTTGGTCAACTCTTAGTCTTTATCAAAATCACTTTGCAAAAATGTCCCTACTGAGTAAAACAAATAGTATAGATATTCCCCTTATTAAAAGTCAATCTTTCTGAAAAGAATAATCCTACACATGTCAATTTAAGAGATTGTTTTAACTGATTACAATTCTTATAAAGACCGCAAGATACACAGAAGAACATTAAACACTTTACCATTATGTGGAAGTTCCAGAGGACTGCAGATCTCACTTTTGGTTCCAGCTGTAGGTAAAGAGATCAGTTTTGCAACAAGGGATGCAGATATGGGCTGCACTAACAGAGAGGTGAGGTTTGATTGGTTTTGTCTGAAGCTTCCATCTGCATTCAAAAGAGAAAGGAAGAGAATCCTTAGTAAATATAACTTAAAAACAAAGAGAAATTTTTTGTAATAAGTACTTAGATTATGAGCTGTGAGTTTATATGTTTTAATTTATTTAGTCTTTAGTTATACTTTGCCTACTAATTAAACTGATTTCAGATACTTCCTAAAAATTTAGCTCAAATACAAGTATGTATGCTTGCTTAAGATAATTTCTACTGCACCATAAAACACTGTAATGACAACAAATGAATGCAATAGCATAGGGGCCAAGAGAATAGGTAGGAATATGATTCGGAAGTTGGAAAGTAGATGAATAAGTGTCAGCTAACATAGCAGGCAGAAAGAGCCCTAAACCTAAAATGCAGCAAGGAAGCTGAGAAGCAATACAGTTTGTGCCACAGAACCTAGAAAGGCTTAGCTATCTCTTTAGGCAGGGTGAAGGAGGAGCTGGATGTAGGAGGATATGATGAAACCCTAACTGCAAACCGAGTCACTGTCAGTGCTTTTTCCTTCTCCACTCAAGTAGAAAGCAGTGAGACGTAGAATAGTGAAACATCAGATACAGTGACGTATATTATGATTAAACCAGGATGGTGTTATTATTGCTGAGACTCTTCAGATATTTTACACTCTTGGCACCCAATTCCTTCCCTCCATGTGAAGCAATAGAAGATACCTTAGTAGTAAATATGACCAAGTCAACAGAAAATATCTAAAAATACTGAAAATCAAGAGCTTTACCAATAAAACAACTTACCCCAGACACCCTATGTCAAAACTCACTCTTCAATAAATCCCACCCATGCACAGAACTTGAAATGGGCTTAATTCTGCCTTTGCGTGAACTGTCAGCCAATGTCCCTGGTGCCATCTCCCAGTAAGGACAAGAGGAAGAGCCAAGGGATTGAGCAAGAGGGTCTCCAAGAGGGTGAAATTAACAGGAATAAAGATGCCTGCCAAGATAACAAGAGTGTTCACAGTAAGATCGGGGGAGGATTTGAAAGCTTCCTAGACATATGTAGAAAAATAAGAAATCTATTATATAATGTGAGAAAGCAATTAACTTTCAACGGACCAAAATTTGGGAAGAGAGACATCTAAAGACACAATATAAATAATATTTAAATAATTATAAGAATACCAATGATATTGTAAGTAAACAAAACAGTTGATTCTTTGTAGAAAAAAAGAGAAATGGGCAAAAAGCCAAGAGTGATGTATGAGGAGACTTGTGACAGGCAAATCTGTATCTATCAGGGTGGTGAGTCAATATAATGGATAAAACTGAAAAAATGATGACTATGGCCAGGCATATTATGGAGAGAGGAGAAATAGCTAAATATAAAAATAAGTGACAGCTGAAGATGTTAAAAAGTAATCAAATATTTGCCTTATGGGAGATAATGAGAAGGGAGAGGAGGTATGAAAAAGAGTAGGAGGTGACACCTATTAATTAAGCCCCAGAGAAGCGTTAACTAATTACAAAACCCCATTAATCGATAACTTTGAAACAATAAACATTAAATAAAAATAAGCAGAGAAAGCAATTGTGATAATACAAGTTCAAGAAAAATATATCAATACTCAGAGTAAAGAGGATGGAGAAAATACACTGAATTGTCCTTGAAGAAATAAGGGAAAAAATAGCTTAAATATTGTTACTGATTTACAAAAGGAAATACAAAATGAATGTCTATCAGACAGCTAATAATGCTTCAACCCAGTGTTATATTTTTCAGAACTTTTATTAGGGAAATAATTGCTAAAGGTTTCCTCAGAATTTAATTTGATGGGACTGCAGGGGGTGCAGAGTGCAATGCTACTGGTAGCGAGGCTCCAGGAGACACTGTGTAAATGAGAAAATATCTCTCAACGGTGTTTCCTTAATTTATCATCTGGAAAACCACAAGGCTAAAATGATATTTAGCTTAGGCCTGTGGCAGCTGTGGAAGTCACGGTCTTGAGGAAAACAATAACAAAGATTTAAGCTTAGAATCAATTTTGTTGTATGAGCACAGTGCCGGTCTCATAATTTAGTAACTCCTTTATACGGATACATGACACTGTGTTTTGACCACAGTGTAGTTCACTGCTCCCCAACCACTTTCATGTCACGCCACTATGACTGGCTGTATAATTTTCAGGGCCCAGAGCAAAATGACAGCATGGGATTGCTTGTTCAGAAAGTATGAAGAATTTCAATATGGCAATAGCAGAGCATTACATCAAGCATGGGGCCTTTCTGAGAAGGAGCTCCACCAGACTGCACAGGTTGGTGCCCACGAACCAGACCCTGACCAGTCCACATGAAAAAGGCTCATAGTCATACGGGCTGCTGATGCAGACTGAAAGGGGTGTGCAGACCTCAGGGAAGCCCTTCTCAGCAGAAAAGATAGCCCTGGTTCTACTCTGCGCCACACCGGGGCCAATGCAATTCATATCTCTAAGTATAGACAGTGCCTGGCACACTAACCATCTCTCTCTGGTCCTCCAGAACGTCCTGTCCCCTTCAGCCACTGCCTTGGCACTTGTACTGTACATGGGACAACAAAACAGTATTTGTGTGCTGCCTGTTGTTTTTATGGATGTTGGGTACAGGCACATTTCCAATACAAAATGGAGCATATTGAGAAGTTTTAGTGGATGTTGGGTACTGGCATATTTCTAATACAAAATGAAATGGCTTGAGGAACAACATGATTTCACCTCTCTCCAGTCCAAACTTAACATTTCCAACATTATTTACTGTCACTATTCTTCACACATCTCATGCTAAAACTCAATAAATCCCTACACACTGTAATTTACATCTTCTCTGCTTTTACTTACATCCTTCTTTCCACTTGTAATTCCCATACACCGCATGCATTCTATGTGTCTGAACTCCACGTGTCCTTTAAAGCCTAACTCAAAAGCCACCTTCTGCATGAGGCTTTCACTGATTCCTCCAGGACTGCATGATGTATCTGTATCTTTTTGGCACTGCTTGCCATTTTCAACTAACATGATCACTATGTAAAAACACTTGGTTTCCTCAATCCTTACTTCCTCACTCAAAACTAATTTGGGAAGAACAGGATCATGTCATCCACATTATATGATTCAGAGTGGCTAGCACGTTCTCAGGAACACAACAGGAGATAATTGGTAAAAAAAAGAAAGGAAATCACAACAGTGTGAAAAAAATTCAAATGCTTCAGTCTTACTAGTCTTCTGAATGCCTATAAAATGGAGCAGGGGAAATCTGAAGAGTGATTTATAATTCTTTGCATTATTTATATAAATATAGTTTATATAATAAAACTGTATAAATATATATAGTTTTATGACTTCTTCTCAGCTAACTGCTACCCTCCCCCAATTGATTATGAAATAGACTTTCAAAGCCTATCTATCGCCGTCAACTCACTGGTTCATCTTGTTGTAAAATTACCTTTTGCAGATGAAAATATTTTAGTAAACAAGATCATCTTGAAGATATATTTTTCAGTTAATAAAAAAATCAATAACTTTATTCCATTTTTCCCTGGAATGCTCTGTTAAGCACATAAAACAATGTACTTAAAAGTTAAATATGAGTGAGTCCTAACCCATAATTGAACATACCAAAATCGTTGATATTTTTTGTGCTGCAAGACTAATAGACTTGCATTAGTTTTGAAATATCTGAAGTAAGTGGTTCATTAATTTTTCACCTTTACCTTAATGGAGATTTGACAAACAGTTCCCATCTGAGAGCAGATACTAAAAGCAGGATGTTCTAGGATGCTAAGATTAAATTATACACCATAGTTTTTTTAAAACCATCTATTGAATAGGAGCTGAGAGAAGAATTTCACTTTCTTACATTATGAAGAGGGATTGAATAAAACTAAAAATGTACACCATTTTTATTCAGTTATATTTTAAAATATATTTAAGAATTGTAAGAATCCACTAGATACGAAAATTTGGCAAATTATGTGCCTCGGTGCAAAGGGTATCATATAGGAAAACTGACATTACATCTTAGGACTCTAACATTTATACTACAGCATTTATATGATGTCATATATATTGTTTATGCTCAATAATAATTGACAGCAATTTTTATTTTAGTGGATAATTAATTAGATATTCACTTTCTGCACTTTATATAATTTATCAATCAAAATAGATCCATTCCATCAATAATTCAATCCCTGTTACAATCCCACACATATAGTATAATGAGGAATTTGAACATAGAGAATCCTAAGTCTGACTTTGCCATTAACATACTCCTTGAAATGTAGCAAAGAATTTCACTGTGACAATATTGTCATTCCATGTACTACCGTTCTGGAACTACCAAGGAGACCTGGAAAGGCCTTGGGAATGTTGACTTTCTGAGAATGAAAAAGAGTACATCAGCTCAGAAACATACAATGTATCACAGTGGGAAGCATTTAGAAGGAATTAAGTAAAAAAGCTTTCTAATTGTACGTATTTAATAAGTTTTGCATTATGTTCTTCAAACTACTGATGCTTACTTCAATCACATCTGCTTATGGCTGTAAAGAAAAATGAGTGCTTGGGCCAGGGATTTAGCTCAGTGGCGCCACACCTGCCTTGCAAGCACAAGGTCCTGCGTTCGATTCCCAGTACCGAGAAGAAAAAATGAGTGCCAGCACTTGTTGTGTGCGTGTCTGTGTGTAAATCTGACATTCATGCTACTCAAGTACAGTGAGTTGAAGTACACATTCAATGTGCACCTTTGGGCAAGCAACAATCACATGAAAGGAATGCAGAATTGCTGGTCTTGCACAGGACTGAATCCAAATCTATACTCTAATAAGATCCCCAGGTGGTTTATATACACAGTAGATAAGCATTGGGCTAAGTCAGTGCACATTTTTTCAGAGCACAATTCACATAATTTTCATAGCAACAACATATTTTTAAAAAGTAGGACTAAAGGGACAGAAACTGTGTTTGTGTTCCCTTACCGAAAATTAAAGATGACAGAACTTTTACT